GAGGGAGGATCTGCTGCCAGTAGCAGCAGCAGCAGCTCTGTGGAGCCTCAGGAGGAAGCTAAGTCCAATTCAATTCAATTTCTGCATCACTTTTAGGGTTTGTGTCAGCTGTTGCTGCTGAGAAACCCTATAGAAGGCCGGGTTCTGCTGCTGTTGCTGCTGCTCGCGCTGCAGCTACTGCTGCTGCAGGTGACCTGCGGCTCCTGCACTGTTGGGGTGTACGTACACCCCAACTAGCCCCACACAACCTCTTACGTTAATTACGGGCGCCGTTCCACTTGCCTGCTGCGCTGCTAGCTGTTCAGAACCTGCTGCTAGCAGCAGCAGCAGCAGCAGCGACAGCAGCAGCAGCAAGAACATCACGACGGTGTGCAGGAAATGGACAGTCGGAAGCATCAACTGCTCCCCAGGAGCAGCAGCCTTGCTGCTTCTCCTGCTGTTCCTGCTCCTCCTGCTGCTCCTGCCCGTTCTCCCGCTGCTGCTGCTACTGCAGCAGCAGCAGCTACTGATGCTGCTGCTGATGCTGCTGCTGCTGCTGAAAATCCAGCTGGCTATCTTCAAGAGGAGGCAAGCGCCTCTTCATTCGATTCGTGTGTATCTGCTTCTGGATCCTCTTCTGCAGGCAGCAGCGACGGCAGCAGCAACAGCAGCAGCAACAGCAGCAGCAACAGCAGCAGCAACAGCAGCAGCAGCAGCAGCAGCAGCAGTGGCATCAGCAGCAGCAACAGCAGCAACAACCACAGCAGCAGCAGCAACGGCGGCAGCAACAGCAGCAGCGCTGTGTCTCCCTCAGCTGCACCCGCGCAGGTTCCTCCCATCCCTGTCTCCGACAGCAACAGCAACAGCAACAGCAGCAGCAGCAGAACCAGCAGCAGCAGACGGCCTTGCACTGTGTTGAAGAGCAGCAAAGGAGGGGCTTGTCCTGCTGCTGCTGCTGCTGGCGACTTTTGCAAACCTGCCCCCCAGGCCCCGCCCTACTTGTGCTTTTGTTTGGCTGACGATGCAGAAGCAGCAGCCGCACTCCAACTGCAGCAGCAGCAGCAGCAGCAACAGCAGCAGCAGCAGCAGCAGCAGCTGTGCGTCTTCCCCTCCCCCCCCGCTATCCCGTTATCCGACGGCTCGCCAGTGGCAGGCGAAGCAGCAGCAGCAGCAGCAGCAACGGGCGCGTCGGACTGCGAGTTGGGGGTGGCAGCTGCTGCTGCGCCCGCTGCTGCTGCTGCTCCTGCTGCTGCGGGAGAGGCAGCAGGCTGCTGCGGCGTGGGGCGGCTGGTGGGCCTCACAATGGCCCTTTTTGTGGCTCTTCAAATTATTTTTAATATTGATAATGGAATTGTTCCTGCTGTGCTGCCGCAGCTCTGGGAAGAATTCCGAATCCCGGATTCCCAGCAAGGTCAGCAGCAGCAGCAGCAGCAGCAGCAGCAGCAGCAGCAGCGGCGGCGGCGGCGGCGGCAGCGGCGGCTTGCTGCTGCCGCTGCTGCTGCTGCTGTCTGCGCTGGCGGTGCTGCAGTGCATGCTTTTGCTGTTTGTCTCTTTTGCGTTTTCTTTTTTTCTTTTTCTTCTTTTTTCTCTTTTTATATTTATTTTTATTTATTTTATTTTCTTTTATTTTTTTATTTATTTTTATTTATTTTTATTTGTTTTTATTTCCTTTCAGTTCCGTTTCGTCTCCGCGAATTCTGCTGTCTTGACACCTCCGTATCTTCATTTATCTTTTCTTTTTTTCTCTTTCTTTTTTCATTTCTCTCTTTCTTTCTGTTTTCTTTTTTCTTTTTTCTCTTTTTTTTATTACAGCTAATCCATTTGCTTCGAGTGTTTGAGGAAAAAGCAAATAAAGAGCGCAGCTAACTGCTGCTGCAGCTAACTGCTGCTGCAGCTAACTGCTGCTGCAGCTAACTGCTGCTGCAGCTAACTGCTGCTGCAGCTAACTGCTGCTGCAGCTAACTGCTGCTGCAGCAGCACAAGCTAGCTGCAGCAGCAGCAGCAGCTAGCTGCAGCAGTCAGATTGCGTTTTATTTGCGTGATGAGTCTGCACTGGAGAAGTTTCAGTTTTCGTTTAATTTGCTGCTTTGTGTCTTGCAAATTTCGGGTGTACGTACACCGCAGCTCTCGTGGGGTGTACGTAAACCCCGGCTCCCGTGGGGTGTACGTACACCGCAGCTCCCGAGCGAAGCCTGCTGCTGTTTTGGACATCAAATTGTGGCATTTTTTTTGTTTTTTTTGAAATAAATTGCGTGTAAAAGTTGCACTTTTTGCTGCTGCAAGAAAGTCTTCAATTGGCACTTCTTGCGATTCTTTTGGAGTTCCAAAATTGCACTTTTGGCGGTGGTTCCGGGTGTATGTACAGCTGCTGCTGCGTGCGGGTTTACTTAGCTGTTTTGCATTTTCACTTTTAATATCTTGGCAGCAGCTGCAGGCCAGTGCACCCTTTTTAAGGGTTTTAAAAGAGCTTTTACGGGTTTCTAAACCCTTAAAAAGGGTTTTAAAACCCTTCAAAAGTCCTCTTTAGCGCTTCAGGGAAAAAGCAGCAACGGGGGCAGCTGCAGCGAGCGGGGACCCCAAGCTCATGCTGCCGCTGCTGCTGCTGCTGCTGCTGCTGCTGCTGCTGCTGCGTGCAGGGCTGCTGGGTGCGCTGCCGTACGTGGGCACGGCGTGCGTGTCTCCGCTGAACTCGCGTTTGCTGCTGCTGCTGCGGCCGAAGCTGCTGCTGTGTCTGTCGCTGTGCTGCAACGCAGCAGCTTGCTGCTTGTTCGTGGGGGCCCCCGGGGGCCCCTCTCTTCTTGCTGCTCGCTTTCTTGTTGGAGCTACTCAAACCCCTTTCTTCATTTTGGCTCCAGTTTGGATTGATGCTTTTGCCCCGCAGCAGCAAATGACCCTCTGGATGGGGCTGCTGCAGGGCTCCGTCGTCCTCGGCATCATGGTCTGCTGCTGCTGCTGCTGCTGCTGCTGCTGCGGCTGCTGCGGCTGCTGCTGCTGCGGCTGCTGCTGCTCATGATGATGATGCTGGGGAGTATGATGATGATTGTGATGATGATTATGATATGGTGGTGCTGACAATGGTGGTACTGGTGCTGCTGCTGTTGCTGCTGTTGCTGCTGCTGCTGCTCGAAAAGATGAATAAGGATAGCTGTCAGCCGCAGCAAAAATGTCAAAGTAAAAACTCGTTTAATGCATGAGCAGCAAAACAAGCAGCTGCAGAGAAAGAGGAGGGGACAGGGAGCACCAAAGGAGACAAACGAAACCTTTTGCTGCTGCTGCTGCTGCTGCTGCCG